CGAAAACAGGTGGAAGCAAAATTTAGGATGATATAGTAAAGACTTGGAACTGCAATTTAAGCGCATCGAGATTGTGCTCAAATTCGTTTGCCGTTTGTGATCAGACTGGGCCCTCAGGAAACGCATTCCAGAAATCAAGGATTCTATGTGACAGTCGAGCATCGGTGCAAACCCCATCAGCTTGCGGTTGGTGCAATTTCGGAGAATGCCCGAGGAGAGAGTAGTTAGCTTAAAAATTTAAATCAGGGTCGATCTTCCTTGTCAGTATACGATAGGTCGTACTAAAGTGTTAATATGTCTACGATAGTGCAGAAAACACAATCTGAGCTTAATGAGTCTTCCTAGACATGACAGGTGCTGTAGTCCTTCAACCGTTTTGGTACCAAGCCTAAGGACCCCTCCACTGACATGCTACCACGAACAAAGCATGGTGGACAAGTTTGGACACAATATTTTAGGTGCGGCCTAACGAAGGCTAGATAAAATCTGGCGACCATTCCCAGTGCGATGATTCCGAGTAAGCAGCGGAGCATCCACTGTATGCTGAACCATTTGCCGGCGGTTTTCTTTCAGCACTCACTGGACTTGAAGTAGGATGACTGAACAACCCCCAGATCAAGCAGCTAGGAAACTTGAGCTACCTCTTTTCCCCCATGTAGATAACGTGTGGAGGAATCACTCTAGCTTGGGTGTAGTATTGAACACTTGGCGTAATTAATGTGCACTACCACATAACGGATGATTCCCACAGTCGGAGTTGGCCACTGGACCACCAGAAATTCACGTCCTCGGTAAACATAAGCGACAGTACATGTAAAATCTCAGGCAGCTCGTTTACACACACACAGAACAACAGTGAGTCAAGAGACCGATATATATTCAGTGAGATTCATTTCCATTACCAAAATGATCAATCTTTTGACCTTATACTCCGACTAATCCTTTACTTAGTTGACTGGTATAAAAAAATCTTGGCACAGTCTCAAAGATGTCCCATCTGCATTTTTAGCGGAACTATATTTTGGAACACTAGATGCGAAGCACTGTTATTTGGCATTTTAAACCTATGTTGCTGGAAGGGATATCCTACTCAGGTCAATGTTCACATGAATACTAAGAGAAGACCATGGAAATTGAGGGTATTTAATACACGCGAATACGAGATGATGCGCCCCAGTGCCCGTCAGCTGGTATACACGGCCAATAGTGACACCACTGGCATCAGTATACACGTTGGGTTGAGCACCATTCCTCTCCATTCGAACACATCTTCGCGGTCCAGCGTTGCATTTTTAATCCACGTCATCAATACTGTGTGAGTTGCCCTGCATCAAGTTTACGGTTTAATTCCTTAATTATCTCTGTGCACCTCACCCTGTTGTAACTGAAATGCCTACCGATGGTGAGTATGCCTGCAACATTGCATTTCGTTGCTTCACGACGATACTGATACTGATACTGATTAGAAGCAGCGAGTAGAGCATACTCTGTGTAGCTGCATCAGTTGTCGCTCTTGGACATTAACGTATTAATTATCGTTCCGCTCTCTATATTTTGCCTCTGCAAAGTGTTTATCTAGAAGCTTCTTAAATTCGGCCACTGAATTCGCCTCTATTACCGGCTGCGGCAGGTTGTTCCAGGTATTCACCACTCTACGTTCGAAACAGAGTTGGTGAGCTACCCGCTTCAACTGCGGTACGATAAGTTTGTACCGGTGTCCTCGCGTGCTGCTTGGTGTGCGCAGATGAAACAGTTGTCTCAACATGGGGTATTCACTAAGATGTAATATCCGGTGGGTCATGATGAGGTCAACCCTCAGCAGACGATATGCTAGGGTGTACAGCCCTAGTTTCTTACATCGGTCTTCATATGGCATACTTCGTAAGTTGGGAATCAGCCTGGTGGCTACATGCCGCACCCGCTCAAGCTTTTCTACCTCGCCCAGCGTGATGGGACAATATGCGGGAGAGCCGTACTCTATTATTGGTCGTATTATCGAGACGAAAATGCGAGTAGCAATCGCTTCGGACCAAGTGCTGAAGCTGCGCCTGAGGGCCCAAAGCATCCGAAGGCTGTTTTGGTACAGCCTATTCGTGTTGTCAATGGATTTTAGGTCGCAGCGTGAGAGCACACCGAGGTCGCGCATGAAAGACGCGGGATGCAACGGTTGACCAGCCACTGTGTACGTTCGGCTGTGCTCGCATTTACCCAACCTCATAAAGTGCGACTTAGCAGGGTTGATCGGAAGGTTAACCTCTGCAGACCATGTTGAGAGGCTGTCGAGATCCTGCTGAAGTAAATCACAATCATTGAGTGTGCGGATTACTCTCCACACCTTCAAGCCATCTGCGAACAACGCACATGGTGATTGGAGTAGCTTAGGCACATCGTTTACATGGATCAGAAACAATATCGGTCCCAGTACAGTGCCTTGGGGCACGCCGCTGCTCGATGGATACCACTCAGTTAGATGGTTGTCCACCTGGACTCTCCACTTCCGATCCACAAGGAAATTTCTGATCCATTTGTGTAGCGAACCACCAACACCGTACATCCTCAGCCTGTCAAGGAGCACTGCATGGTTAACCTTGTCAAAAGCCTTACTGAAGTCAATGTAAATGACATCGACCGAATGGCCTTGGTTCATCGCTTGTAACCACTCGTGCCTTGTCAACAGTAGGTTGGTGATGCACGAACGACCTTTCAGGAAACCATGCTGTGCGGAGGTCAACAGGTTTTTCGACTCGAGAAGTTGCAGAAGGTTCTTCTTCACGATCTTCTCGAGCGTCTTTGCCAAAACTGCCGTCAGGCAGATCGGCCGGTAGTTATCCACTTTGCTTGGGTTACCACCTTTCGGTATAGGCTTTACGACTGAGCATTTCCAGTCGTCTGGTAACAGTCCAGTGGATAGTGACCTGTTAAACAGTTCAGTTACAGAAGGCGCGATGATGGCTGATAGGGACTTGAGGATCAGTGGGTGTATACCATCTGGCCCAGCAGGCTTTGTCCCGTCAAGATTTGCTAGAAGCTTGCGTACATCCTCAATATTGCAGTCCAGGCTGTTAAGTTCGGCTGGAGCGGTACTCGTCGAACTCATTACAGATACCTGGTCACTTGCAAATACGGAGGCGAAGTGCGTTGCCAATGCGGACGCACGATCTGTACTCGAGGTTAGGGGCTGTCCATCGGAGCCTTCTAACACTGGGACATTGGCTACAGGCCTCAGGCGCCGCTTCACGTATGCAAAGATCCTCTTGGGAGCAGTTTTTGCGGCGGCTGCAAGCTCCTATTCGAAGCTTCTGCGTTTTCTTGTTTTCGCGTCGTTGCAGCGATTTCGCTGTACCTTATACGCATTGTAGTCCTCATCAGAGCCAAATAACACGAACTTGTTCCATAGTCTGCGTCGTCGTCGATCCATTTTGTTGTACTCTTTGTCGAACCAATGTGGTTTGACTGGCCTAACTTTCCGAAATTTGTGGGGTACAAATCGGGCGCACAACAATTTTACTCCCTCTTTAATGATAGTCCAACAGGTTTCAATAGATGAATCCTGTGGTAAAGACCAGTCCGTCTGGCTCGCTGCTCGAATGAGGCCATTAAAGTCCGCCTTCCAATAGTTGAAAGCTGGCTCCTGTGGGGGAGAATACGGCACTGGTAGTTCCATGCTGCCTATCATCATCGAGTGGTCACTCGCTCCCAGAGGGTCTAAGACTTGAATGTTATGCACACGCTGCTCACAGCTAGTCAAAAGTAGGTCTAAGCATGATGGAGCCGCGCGCGCAGTAATGCGTGTCGGCTGGTTGATGTGCTGTGCGGTCCCAGTTTCAAATAGCAACTACGTAAACTTCCTCTCGACTTCACAGTGGCCGGGGAGAAGTTCAGCTTCAGGCCACTGTATTCGGGGCAAGTTGAAATCGCCCATGAGTAGGAACATGTGACGACTCATGTGGCTGCGGACATGCGGCAACCAGTCCAAACTGCGGCTCAGTGGGCTGCGATATACCACGCCCACGAGCAACTCGCAGCGTCTGAGGTGAATCGAACACCATAACTGCTCACATAGACCATCAGCGCTTTGGTAGGCGCTCACTAGTCTCCCACACAAGAAAGACGATGACCGAGATAAATTTCAGTGCTACCGGAATATGTAGAATCGGCTCAGTACACATCGACAAGTACGCCGCGTGGGACGTACACGGGTGCATCTCACCAGACTGGTTCATTCATTATGTTTCTGCAAAGCTACAGTACCATTATACTTAAACTGCACTACATGGAAACCACATAGATTTGTTTTCAAACCAAACTGCACGATTTTCAAACCACCTGGGTGATTTGAACAGTGTCCAGATTGAAGTGAAAGCAATGGAAGATTAGTGAAGTTAAAGATGTGTCATAACTTAAGTCTGGGTTAAAAACTTATTTCCAAATCTACACGGGTAGATATCCAAGTAGAAGACTTCCAGACTTTCGTCAAGCACGGCGAAGCTGCACACAGCTAGATGCGGACTGGGCACTGATTCTTCCTTGAGTTGTAGGCAGTACGCGGTGATACGGACTCTCACATCATTCAAACGAACATGTCAAACGTACTGATCAGTTCTTGTGTGAAGGTGATGTTGCCTCACCGGTATTTTCATCACGCAAGCGCCTTCAGTCAGACATTCCTGTTATGTCCCGAAGTCGGGTAACACGATGGGTGTGTGTAGATCAGCTATCAACGCAAGTTACCAATCGGACAATTTCCGCTTCGTTTCCCCACGTGACATGATTGCTGAAAACCCCGTGCTCTCGGACCAGTTCATACCCGTCTAACGCTCTCCTTGTATTCCCTTGGATTTGTGTCAGACGGTGAAAGCTGATCCACACCACACACCCCCGCTGTTTGTGACGGTGGGCGTGCCGGGTACCTCGGGTGGCGGGTATCGGACGGATCTTCCGTCGCCGAACCGACTCGTCATTGGTCGACTGAACGTTGCAATCTGGTTGGTCAGTCCGGCCCTTCGCCTTGTGAGCTCGACGCGACTGCGCATACGTGTTGAGCCATGCATCGGCCCAAATGAAATGCAGGTAGCAGACGGTTGAATTGGCCCCATTCCCATTACCCCGCCCACTGGGAATCAAACTGCTGGGCGGTACCTACAGGCTGCATCGGAATGTCCCTGGTAAGTAATGACACTGATCTGACATGTCATCACAAGCATAAATTAGGGCTGCCAACGATTTAATGAAACCATACTTAGTTAGCACTTAGAATGCACTAATTCGGTAATTGTCGCCTTTTGCATCTTGAATATCACACTGGAAGATCGCAGTATCAATTTGGCTCAAAGACTGGGATGTTTTACTTAGTCTAAAGTGCCTCAGTTTGGTTCCATACTACAGTTGCAAACGGCAGTTGACCGTCAAGACAAGCGAATCGGTGTATGCAGCACATAGAATGTCTGAATTTTTCAAACGATTATCTACAGAATTGAATTATTTTCTAACTTTACCATCTGGACATCATTTAAGACTACTTCACAGTCCATGTTACCAAGCTTTAAATGTAGAGAAGACTTGCATGAAATAAAAAATATCCTAGCCACACACTTGCGCTGAATATGTTCCCTTATAGCAGACCACAATATACATTCTTTGAAATGCTTTCATTCCTGAAGGCGTCACTTGGCGGAAATCACTATCGGATGCTGTTCAATGGGATTTACTGTCCAGGAATTCGAGAACGATGAAATGCGTGCTGGTACTGAAAGGCTGTAATGGTTTTACTAATGATTACGTCTCCTACTGCTGGCAGCGCGAACGGTGCATTCAGCTGTTGTCTCATACCAATAGAGAAGTTTCCAACAGATGTCACCAGGCTAATTATACCACCATTTGCTTTAAATTAAGCAACGTTTTGAGCTCCTCAAATGCAACTGCTTAGTTGAAAGCGGTGTTAACTAGTTCCGGCCCGAGTGCGTAAATTTTGCTGTTCCTAACCTGAGCGGGATTAGAGTAAAGCCATCACTGATGCGACAAGTGTTACTCGGTAGACACCTACAATTCAAGCGCTCAGGTTAGTAGATAAAAGGTTCACCATTTTAAGTATATACGGTCCGAATCATGTCCTCTATAGGTACGGCTTTCCGATACTTAACTCTGGTGATGAGGGGCACTGCCATGTTAACGAAGTAGTCATCTCCTTACCTTAACTCGCTTTACGCATTTTATCTCGGCTTTTTCCTGCACAACTATTTCACTTACTCTGTGTAAGCAATAGCGCTTATAGATTATCCTATCTCTAGCGGATAGGACACTGTTGAAGTCGCCTAACGTCACAATTAGCAACGGTCTCATCCAGCAGCTTCCCAAATTAAGCAACGCATGGTACCACACACCTGTTGCTGCTACTGTTGATTGGCTTTTTGAAAGCAAAAGGAGAATTAAACCGTTAAACTGCCGTCGAAGGACGCTGAAACCATGGGTGCCCTTGGATGAACCGTCACGCTTGAGCACTTGCACATTGGTACAAGTCGTTTGGTTTCGTCGGAGTGGTGCACATGTTAATGTGTTCATCAAACTTTTGTCCAACACATGACGAACAGTAGTATATAATTATCCCGCTCCTTTATCTGGTGCCAAGTTCTTCCCCTCACTACTGAACGGCGGCTGTCCATCGATAACGTGCGCGCGCGGCACGTGCAGCCCATCTGGTCCAGTGGTTGAGAAACAACCCGCATTGAGGGGGCTGCTTTACAAAATGTTCGCACAGTTTCTTTTTACGATTGAGCTGCGGCATAAATATTTTTTAACCGGTTGCTTGACCTCCATCGGTTTGGGTTTAGTGCCCCTCGCCTTTGTATCCGAAGCTGGCCAAGCCTGTGAACATAGACGAAGTCAACAGGTGTCAGTCGACTATACATCTCATACCGTCTGGTCACGCGGACGTAGACAGGGGCGACTTTACCTCAACGTGTCTGTGCGGCCCACCAGTGCTCACTGAGCCAAACCAATGGCACTCGGTTAAAGGGAGTTGGACGTTTTCCTGTTTGGAACCCCGTAAACATACCATCGCCAATTAGACCGTGGCCATTTCCGAAGTAGAGCACGACCATTCCAAGCACCGGGACCGACTCTAGGTAGCGGCGTTGGTTGCGAGCACACATGAAAATAAAAACTCCCGATTGGAAACTGGTTTTAATGCAATCCGCGGAAGCAGCTGTTGAGTAAGACCGGCAAGAGATAGTTACTCTACATCGTGGTCTTAGCTGAAAGCGAAATTCGCCCTTCAGAGGGAAATCATGGTGTGTGATGCAGTGGCAAGATCAGAGGAATAATGGGTGAAAGGCGCTGTCTGGGCGCAACCGTGACGTCAGAATCTCTGGGTCTGTCTGCTGACTGCTTCGCGTCGCCTGAGAGTTCTTGAATGGAGAGGAAATGTGAACATGGTTTGCCACTATTTCCCACGACAAACCACTTCAGAGGATGCATTCGAGAGAGGAACACAAAAAACTACCCTGAATCATGTGTTAAGGGCCCTGTCGGGGGCGTTGAAACAGACGAAACATCTTGTCCTTTGGTGTGGTTGTGAACATTTGCTAATTGACGGGGTAACAAATCCCCTGTCAAGCTTGTTCGTGGCCAACGTGTCGCGTGTGGCGAGCTGTCACGCGATAATGCCCAACGTTAACCGCTCACCTGAGACTGTGTGACCGACTCGCTGGTTAGCCAAGCACCAGATTAGCAGCTCGTTCGGGAACACTTTTTGCGGTGGTTCAAGGACATTTTAGCCTGAGAGTATCATGTTAGGATGATCACTTCAAGTCAAGCACCCTTGAGGGTCCTAATCTGATATTTTTGTGGATTCGGAATGCGTGCAAAAAGCTACATGTCAATTAAACCGCCATGCAGTGTTACACTTTGCATGTAGCGCAAACAACGCAAGTAACTTAAGGACTAAGTAGCTTCGATTACTTGCAGTGCACTTGTAGCTGTTGCAGTGGGGTTATTTTTGTGATAATTCAGCTAGGGCAGGCATGATTGTCAGAACACACTACATCGGGACTCGCTAGTGTACGACGGATCAAAATTGAAGTGGAGAATATTTCAACAGAGCAAGAGGGACAAGCAAGGCTTAAAGTGGGGTCCTCCAACGTGAAGTCTACAGTTTGGTTTCTCCAACTTCTACTTCGGGGATACGCACGATGGAGTGTGGGTCAACCATGAACTACTCGTTGTCTCCATTCCTCCGGGTGTACACTAGATTTAGTTCGTATATGTCTATCTGTGACTAGCGTGGTGGTAATCACCCATAATTTCTCAGTGACAGTGGTAATCAGCGTTGAAAAAGGATGCGACCAATCTTGGAGGTCAACCACACACTGTCCACAGTGTTACTCTCAATAGCTATTTCTGCAGGACCACTTCTGCTCCGTGATATAAGATAGGGGGAAGGTTCAACATCTTGGAGGAAACTAGGAACCGACTAGGAATTCCTACTTTAATAAGGTTTTAAAACACAAAACGGTTTTATAAAGGTTTGTATTACGGCTACCTTTCGCCCTTGGCACAAGAGCCTCTTCAGACCAGGAAGGTATAGAGGGAAGGTTTTCGAGTTTTAACTTATCGATAATTGTGGTGCCAGTTTACTGTACAACACAAACGGAGAACATGAATAGTGGGATTGAATGAACTAATACCTTTATCGAACTTCTCATATATGAGTGGCTCACAAAAGACGACAATAGTACGATTTCCGGGATCATCCACAAAGTTCATCTTCCCAACGCAAGGATTCATAAATCAGTTTTCACGTTTTGCTGTGAAGTGAATTCCTATCGCTCTTTACCATCTTTAACACCAGTTCCGTGTCTGCAAACTCCACGTAGTTGTGCAACACCAAGACCCCCGTTCGGCTTATCCGGTTTCTAATACGTATGTCAACAGGCAACAATACAAAGTTCGAGAATAAGACTGTAAAATTCCGTGTACCATGAAGTTAGTATCTACAGCAACTGACAACCAAAAACCATGTGCCTGGACGGCTGTTAGCAGTTTCAGCACGCGCACCGGGAGTGAGTCATCGGGATCCGCGACATCACGAGGCCGTGTGTGGTGAGAACCATCGCCCATCACGAGCCCGGACGGCGCATGACGGTAACCGTGACACCACCAGACCGTCAGCGGAGCTGTGAGCAAGGCATTTGTGTTTTACTGTGAGGTTTAAATGGCTTATAGTTTTATGCTAAGTAGATCTTTGATCGTAGCCAAACTTCACTTTTTGACCCTTTCAGAAGGCTATGCTACAAACAGGACCCATGAACTCAACCAACTGATAGTCCCTGTTGAACTGAGTGACGATGTTGTTCGAGCACTTAGGTGACTCGGGTTTAAGTGCGGCATTTCGCTCTGGAAACACAATCCTGTCTTTGCTCTGCCAATCAACATTTTCATGTGACAGCTTCAGAAACTTATGGTCACCAAGTAGAGCGTGACACCCTTTGTGTCCAACCTGCCTTTTCGCTTGAGTACTTGTGGTGGAAGTAGACTGTACTAAGCAACTGTCTGCACAAGCGAAAGCCTTGCTTGTTAGGAGCGATGCACAACAATAAGAGCACCACGTTACTTGTGTTGTGCCAAATTCCGCTCCTTCTATTCACTATTACACATATCCAGATGGAAAAGAAAGATGATTACGGCCTATATTTCGATCATATCTTCAGATCATTTCATTTGCCCTCATGGTAAGTAGTCGACGATAACCTGGTACCTTGATTGGATTGGTGCACTCATTTTGATCTACTAGTGTACATGGAAAAGTCAGCCTTATTCCAGTGCAGAGCACGCTTATCCAAAGATCCGCTTACTTGCAGACGTCCGAGATATCTCCTCCACCTTGTGACGAAGAGTCAAGTCAGCTTCCGGTAGCGAGTTGTCATGTAGGACCTACTAGGTTTCTACTCAATAGTTGCATAGCTACCTGCGTCTTTGTGTGCCACATCATAGGTGTTACCCTCTCATTCGGCTGGATAGTGATCAAACTAGCACATGCGGTACATTCCGAGTAACATGCCTTACATGGTTTCGGCTTTCATTGTGCACTCCGCAAACCACGACCAAGCCACCGACGGCCATTCGGCATCCCCATGGATCATTGAAAACCTGCACTGGTGACATCTAGCCT